GACACCTCTACTGTCTGTGCTTACCCACAGGTGAAGTACTGGTTACTAAAGAGTCATGGGTTGTTTTTTCTTTTTTTCAAAAACTTCCTTCCCAGAGAGGCAAGCTCAAGGGCTTGTTTTGTTGTTGTTGTTGTTGTTGTCATTATTGTTGTTTGTTTGTTTCTAATACTTTCCCTTTGGTTTCCCTTTGGTGGTTCCACAGGTTTCTGCAACTTTACTGAGGAAAAGTCTTGCAGCATCACCAATGACAACCAGCCTTACAAATTGCATCTTCTGTTTAAGTGCCATTCAGCACAGAACAAAACACTGAGTCCTGTCTCACTAGCATGCTCTGAGATCTGGTATCTTGAAAATACTGGTCTCGAGTGCGGGCTGGCAGGTGAGTAAGTCTCTCTGAGTAAGAGGTCATTCTTAAGTTTATGGCAGTCTTTGCCATAACATTATGGAACGTTGTACGCCTCCCTAAAGGTGGCAAGAAGTTAAAATCCCACTAATGCTATTGGATTCTTTGTGAAAGAGCAATTTTTCAATTACACATAATTAATAGTCATTACCCTTTATCTTCAGAGACCAGAACAAAGAACAATTAATCCATCTTAACATCCCCATTAAGGAGGTATTAAATATTTTTTTTTACACAGCAGATTACACAGTAACTCATGTGGCCTACTGTTCAGTCTATGTTCCCTAATGCGGAATGTAAAGAGAAAGAGAATCCTGAACTATCTGAACTAACATTCTAGTTTTTGCCTTAATTTAATTAACTATTTTGGAAACAGCTGTTTTCTTCTTGCAGCAGCTTGCTGCAAATTAAAAGTGTGCTGCCTACAAATCTCTCATATATATGCCCCAAATCTCTCATATGTATTTGCTATATATTTGCAAACTATAAATTTTACCATATTTGCTAATTAAGAACATTCAAGTGGACATTTTACTAAGTTTTAACACGTATCTATGAGTAAAGTGTTTGCAATTATTCCCACTGCAGAGCTGGAGAAAATGAGGCCTGGAAGTTTAGGGCCAGCTTCTCACTTGACACAAAGCCTTTTTGCACCGCTCTTCTCTCACACTGTTTTTTGCTGCGCAGGAGGACAAGACTTCTGATTCTGTGTACATTCTAGACAGCATGTACCAGACTCATAGACACTTATGCCCTTTATCAGATCTTAAACTTTGGCTTCAATCTTCCAAAGTAGCTTCCAATTTTTGATATCTTAATGGAAGCTCATCTTACAGGACTTCGTATGTCTCTCAGAGCATGCAGTCATTATTAACCTGAACTGAAATTTCCTGTTCTTGACTATTAAAAAAAAAAAAATCAAAGGAACATGAATTTATTACTTTGATCTTAAGTGAGTAGTCCAAGATCACACTGCAAGCCACTGAAAGAGGCAGAAATAGAATTTGCTTCAAACACATGGTTTTGCAAGACAAATATTCCACGTGGCAGGATGACAGCAAAGATGAGGGCAGTGCTGCAGGCAGCATACGTGGCAGCTCTGGCAGACAGACCAGCAGTCTCTGGCCCCTGACAGCTTGGGTGCCCAGAAAGCTTATGATTAGTGATTACCTGTTAAAGTGATAAAAAAGCATAGCTTTTATTCCTATGTGTATTGATCTGAGGGATCCTGAGCTCAAAAGGGGGGAGTAGAGAGATCTAGAAAATGGGGGAGTAAAAAGGAAGGGACCAAGGGAGAAGGAGAACGTCCCAAATGTTAAATGAAAGCATCTGCATGAAAGGCTCCAGGCCAACATGCTCAGAGAATGCACTCTTCTGTCTCAGTGACCTTGTGAAGATAAACTGAACAAAAAGCTTCAGGCAACATCAGACAGAGGATTTAAGATGCAGTTTTAATTTTAGCCAGATTGTTTTGTATTTTTGACTGCGGGGTTATGTGGGGATGCAATGTGCATACAGTGGAACAAAATGTAGTTGGCACCCACAACTCTGATACCACACCTGATGGCAAATTCAGTTCTGTGCTTCCAGGGGAAAGCAAAAATCATGGTCTTGGCTACACAAGGAAGACCAAGTTGTGGTCTCACAAGGATGGAGTACCAGTGCATCCTAATTTTACTCCAGAATGCAATTACTTGGCTACCTTATGCATGAGCAACAAACAAGACCTATACTCCAACACAATATGCACTAATATGCTGGTTCCCTCTACTCACATTATGTCCTTGCTCTCTATCTCTGGACTGACAGCTATTTACTATGAACAAATTGTTTAATCCCCCTGTACCTCAGTTTCCTCATCTGCACAGTGAAAACATCCTACCTAAAAAGAGTGCAAGGATTCACTAACTGATATATGTTTTTTCAGTGAACACATTTTCTGGTAATTTTAATTAGAGCAAATAAATACAAGCTCTAAGAGCTGGCTGTATACAATAAAACATATGCATTAATCACAATGTCTATTGCAGCTTATTAGAACAATTCATTCCATATAATACAAATGCAATCTAACCTGCAACCTGTAGATTACGAATGCCATATAAATCCAAAATGAGGGTCTAGATCTTCAAGCCTGTAGTAAAATGTCAAATCACAAACTCAAATGGTTATAAAACCAACCCAGACTGATTGGGAATAACCCCTCCACATGCACACTACCACACCTAGCAAACACAAGCTGGGAAAATGAGACCTCAATATTCCTCCTGCACCTCCCTAGCATCACCACTTTATTGGACAATCATAGATGAACACTTAGCTGATAAAGAATCTTCTATCCAAAGTTCTCAAACTGCTTTACCAATTGTCTCTAATGTGTACAGGCAGCGCACGTTATTTCCCCCTGTCCTCGTATACTCTGTCCTCCATAATTTCTATTTGATAAGCTATCCCGAGGCCACATTGTCTCTCCAAGTCTGCAGGAGACATCCATCCTCTCTCTTGGCAGGTCTCTTGACCCACCCTTCAATTTAAATAGCATTTTCTGATTTCTGCTCTCTCAGATCTTTTCTTAGGAGACAGTTCTTTTCCACCTTGACTGTATAACTCACCATCACTCGCGACAGTTTCTTGAATCACTGACTCTGGAATCAATACAGCAAAGCTGGCAGAGGATGGGAGTGAGGAGGTGGGAAAACAAATGTGAAGATGTTGTAACCTTTTAGTCCTGTACTGTCAGCTCAGCACACCGTGACGCCTGACTGGACTCACACGGCTTGTACTAACACAGGCAGTGACTGTACAGGGAGCTGTGGTGGCTCAGGGCTGCTGTGTGCATCCTCCAAACCAACAACAGGGAACTAAAGGCAGTATTGTATGTGAAATGAAGCAGGACAGGGCTCTCTCACAACACTGCTCTCTCTTTGCACCACGTCTCTCCTAATCAGCCTTCTGGACTGAAAACAGAGGCCTTTGCTATACATAGGGCCCAGCCTGTAACATGCACAGTGCACATGTCCTATTGGATTACAGGGCAGAGTGCACTCACATGGTCTGCTTGTCAGAGACCCAGCCGTGCCTCTGCAAAAAGAAGGAAATGAGGGAGGGCATGAATGAGAGCAACCTGAGCCGCCCAGAAGAACCCCAGCCCAGTCAGAAGGCAGGGTTGGGGGATGCCACCAGAAAGACGGGGGCAGCAGGCAAATGTACCTTCGCAGGCATGCTGGAAGGCTAAGCTGGGACCTTGCTCCACAAAGAAAATACATGGGAATCTTCATGGACTTTGATATTGTTCAAAAATGTGAGAATAGCTTATCACCTAGGAGGCTCGCTGTATTGACAAGTGGAACAGATGACAGCTAGATCCCAGTTCGGATACTAAAATGCATAGCAATATGACAAAGATCAATGCAATGCAGCCTCTCTCATCAAGAAAATGCTTCTATCTGCATCAGCTTCAGAAACTGACGAACTTCCCCCAGTGCCTTTGATCGTGCCCCAAAAGAAAAGGTCTCTTGGAAAGTCCATACTGGACTCTGTGCTTTTTTCTCCCCAGGCAATTAATATTCTGCAGTTCTCAAAAAAACATGACTCAAAAATGTCATTAGAGGTGAAGGAGAGAGGAGTTAATAGAGAAAAGGGGAGAGCAGCAGAACAGGCATCTATTTCAGAGGGCAGAAGTTTATCACCCGGGACAGGATTTCCACTGGGTTTATCATTGTTTTCTTTGTCTAGAATTAAGGTCATTAAAGAAGATGTTTCCACTCTGAATTAGCAATGAGTTCCCACTTAATTTATAGTGCCCCAGCGCTCCCATGTGATTTGGCTCCAGGGACCTCGGTGAAAGCGTTTCTCCCGTGAATTATACACCGCCCTAACTAGCTCTTTCTCCCACCACACACTCAGGTGCCCACCTTTCCTCTTTTCCCTTACTCCCCACGTTCCCCTCTCTCCAGTTTCTTCTTGTACCAGATCTTTCCAAAGAGCGCTCCCTGCTTCCTCAGATCATCTGTCACCGATGCCAGCTTCGAAAACCACTACAGAAATAATTATAAGTAGCTTTGTTCCACAATTCTCTCAGCTGTTTTCATTTGTTAGACCATTAGTACATATCCCAAAACGCAGCGTACCCAGAGCCTGAAGAGTTACAAATACCGGAGCAGAGTTTTGTGGGGTAGCGAAGGCGGAGAGCCCTTCCAGGAGCACAGCGGTGGCCCTGGACACTCTGCTAAAGCCCTCAGCCCCGGAGGGCAGACGGTGGCCCCACCACTTGCCACAGCCGGAGGGTGACTGCAGCACCGGGCCTGTCCTCGCCCTCCTCCCCAGGGCATTCCCGCAGCTCCGGTCAGACGAAGCAGGGCTGTGAGGGCGGGACGTCCCGTCTGCCTCATTCCGACTCGTTGGCACCGGACAAAGCCGGCTTAGCCGAGGTGGATCGAAGCGACGGAGGGAAAAGGGCTAAAGCCAAACGAATTACCCCTCCGCAAACTGAAGGGAGCCGAGGGCTCGCCGCCCCCCCTCAGCCCCCTCACCTCACGCCGGCTCCCGCCGCCCCGGGCCCGCCGTTCGCACCATCCCCCTGCCCC